ACCTATGCAGCCCTGGCCATGCTCTCCCAGGTCACAAGCACAGCCAGGCCAGATGTCTCCCTCCTAGGTGCTGTGTAGGGATTTGCACTTCCCAAAGAGCACTCCTCAAACACATGGGAAAGTCTTCCTAACTAACTTGTCCACTGGTTGTTCTCACAAAATGGAAGCTGGTCAGGTCAAATCAACAGGCATCTCTTAAGCACTCACCAAATGCCAGGCACTTTGCTAATCCTTAGGGATCTGAATATAAACAAAAAGAAAGACAATGTCTGCCCTCAAGGAGTTCACCTTCTAATGTGGAGCTGTGGAGTGGGGGTGGGCAGGGTTTGAGGAGGGAAAGTAACATTGAAAGGGCATGTTAATAAAGTCCACAGAGTAAAAAGAGAAGCTGGCCTATTCCCTTCCTCAAAATGGAGGTTCCAGGAAGAGCTCACCAATGAGAGAAGGAGGTCACAGGAGGATGAGAAGATAATTGAGGCATGGAGGCAGGGTATGGAGAATCAGAGGCAGAGCTGAGAAAGCAATGTAGGAAGGCTGGCTCGGGTCCTTTAAAATGAAGATTCCAGAAGGAGCTCACCAATGGGAGAAAGATGCTGCAGGGAGGGAGAAGCTTATGTTAAGGGCTTGCGAGCTGCGGCTTTGAGTAGAGGGTAACCCCTCCCTCTAGCGTATCTTAAACTTGGGGCTAGCTTTTAGGAGAGTTTATTTATGTGCAAGACCCCAGGCTACACATCTATTAGACAAAGCTATCAATTCTTAGAAAGAGATGGGACATGAATTGAACAAGAGTAATAATAATATGCATTTCCTAGGGCACTTTAATGTTTGCAAAGCACTTTCCTCACAAAAAGCCTATGAGGTATGTTCTACAGGTATTATTAGCTCCATTTTACAGGTGAGGAAACTGAGTCTCTGAGATATTAGGTGACTTGCCCATGCCCACATAGCTAGCATCTGAGATATGATTTGAACCCAGGGCTCCTGACTCAAAGCCCATCACTCATTCATCTAAATCCATCAATTTCGGAGACCACATTAAAAAAAAAAAACAACAGAACAGAATAAGACTTCTCGGTGACCTGAATCAGATCCCCAAATGGCTGGGATCTTGGCATCCATCCTCACTGAGTCACTGGCTTTACCTGAACACACACTACTCATGTTCTTCCTGAGCCCAGCTCCTCTGGCCGAGCAACAGGTCTCTGGTCCTACCAAGCCAGGCTTTGAGGGGAAATGTAGGGGACAGTTCACCATGCCAGACAGCTGGCGGGGGAGGGAGGGATAACCGCTTTGGAAAACATCAAATCTGCTCCATGTGGACGTGGTCATGGGAATGTAGATAATTGGGTTTTTATTTGGGAACTGACAATTCTGTTTCTATTTTTTCTCTCAATGTGGTTTACATGTTGCTTCCATTTACAAACATTTAACATACAATTTGAAAGTTTATTGTTGTGTTATGGCTTATGTTTCATACAACAACTGTCTTAAGCCACTTCAGAGAGGGGATAATAATGACAAATTTGAGCATTTCTCCACAGGAAAAGCAGTCATGGTGAGTGCAAGAGACTGTGTGTAGTCAGCTGTCATTAAAAGCATTTTAATTTGCTGTTGACAAACAAGATTTTCCAAATGATTTACACTGAGGTTTCTGGGCAGAAGGCCATGAAGTCTGTATAGGACTATGGAGAGCCAGTGCACAAAAGTGTTCATGGAATCCTCAGTTCACCCTTGGCAAAGTCCAATGGAGAGTCTCAATATTTTTAATTTAGCATTACCTATGAAACAAATGTGCTAGGTTAGCTAAAGCCAAAGTATCACTGTTTGGCCTTTTACAAATATTTGCTATGCTCCTATAATTACTATAGTTTCTAAGAGGATGAAGTGTTTAATCAATACAGGGCATTCAAAGTTGGAGAATTTTACACTGAGGAGTGGGAGGGGGAATTTTAGAAGGTCATTTAATCTAACTTCACTTTACAATCAATAAATTGGGGTCGAGAGATGGAAATTGCATACTAATTATGGTGGGGCTGGAATGAGAACCTGAGTCTCTGGACCCCCAGTCCAGTATATTCTGTAACCTCCTGCTGTCCTTTGTGTGGTTAGGGTTGAGTTACTGGGAGCGTTCTTCCATCTAGAAGTCTCTTGGAATGCTGAAAGTGATGCAGAGTTCTTCAGAACCTGCTGTCTTCCTCCTGTTCCCTTGGGGGTCCAGCTCATTGTCCATCCACATCACTTGTCCAAGATGGCTGTTCTGACAGACCACTTCACTTACATTCAGCAAACATTTACTCTGCAAGTGGAATAATAAGTTATTGCCTTCTGGGATTTCTCTTCTCCTGGGGCAATAACATGGGAATAGATAAGAAAATGCAAAATCTTTTGAGGAGGGAGAAAAGACTGAGAACTAGGGAGATCAGAACAGAAAGGGATTGACAAGACTTGGCCATTGATTAGACCCAGGGGGCAGAGAGGGAATAATCAATGTGGTTTCTGACATTATCACTGGAAAGCCAAAAATTAAGGTTTGATCTCAGAGGTATCACAGAGCCTTGGTGGGATGAAAGTTGAGCTTGGAAGACTGATGTGGAGAGATATGCCGTATTTAAAAGAGTCAAGACAGGTAAGGGGATAGGGAAGATGATCAGGGGAGAGAAGCTCATTGGGAAATATTGGGATAGGGATCAATGCAGGGAGATAAAGAAGTGATTTGTCAGCAGAAGTACTAGAGACTGAAAGAGGAAACAGCTGAGAAATTCAGGAAACAGATCACTCCCCCAGCTGCAGGGTGTGATCAGATAGTCATTGATTCCTTCAGTGATCCAGATTTCTGCAGAGATCCCTCCTCTTGGCCAAAATCAAAAAAGCCAGTAACTTTTCAATCTCCACTAATGATAATTTTATCTTTCAAAAGTTGGAACTGCTGAAAAATATTACAAAGACAAAATACCTTGTTTGAAGAATTCCTGATTTTAGAGGATGCCCCGAGTCATTCAACATGTAAGAACAGGAACAGGCAAAGTCACTGAGATGTGGTTAAAATTCTCTGCCTCTTACCAGCTTACGGATGAAAATGTTAAGAAAGTAAAGACAGTTTAGTCTGTACTGTGAAACCATTTTAGAAGAACATAATGATGTGATTATTATATTGTTGGTATGAGCTTATCTTTATATATAATATTCAGTAATTTAAAATTTGTCTTTTTATAACTAATCTATCACCTTGTAATTAATTTGAACCAGAAATATATTTTTCTTATCCTTTCCTATTATAGCATGTTGTTAAACAGATTTAAAATTTTTATAAATTACATTGCATATTTCCATTGGGCTGGAACCAATGACCATGTTTTACATAAAATTATAACTTCAAATAGTGTAAATTCGAATAATGAGACTGCTTTTTGAGATCTGTCACTTGTACTAATTGGGACATGGCTGTTTTCTGTGTAATAGTCACCAACAAGAAGGAATTTGTTCCTGAGTTGACCTGGAGGGGAAGACTGTTCCCTGTCACTCAACAAGCCCTCAAGGTCTGACTACAATTCTACGAGGGAATTCGTTCTCAAGAATGAAATTCTGAAGACAGGAAAGGAAACAGTTCTTAATGAGAGAAAGTGAGGTTTGTCCAGAGAGACAAATGCTTGTGTAGGGAACGATTCTCAAAGCAAGGTACAGATGGTGGAACCCCCGGCAGGTGAGAAGAGCCGGCTTTGGAAGCTAAGGTAAGGCCAACTATGTAAATGTGAACTATTGTTGTTATTTTCCTTCATGGATTATTAGTTAGGTCAATATAGAGCATGGTCAAAAAAGCAAAACAAAACAACAACCTAGAGAGAAGAGAGTATCCAGATGGAGGGAGTGGCTCGCAGTGTCCAAGGCTGCGGAGAGGTGGAGCATGAAGACCGAGAAGACGCCACCGGGATGACCATTAAGACACCACTGGTGGCTTTGGAGAGGGCAGTCTTGGGGGGAGGAGGCGGCGGCAAAGAGTTGAGAAGGCAGTGAGAAGAGACTACTGCAGACACCTTCTCAATGAGTGTAGCCTGAAAGGGAGGAAAGCTAAGGGGCGAGAGTGCATGAGTGAGTGGAGGTAGATGGGTCGGAGGAGGGTTTCTTGAGGACGGGGGAGACGTGGGCATGCGTGGGAGCTGCAGAGGTGAGGAGATTGAAGGGAAGTGGGGACGCTAGAGGCGGAGATCTGTGGGAGGAGATGGGATGGAATGAGATCCCTAGTGAGCGGAGGGGGTTTGCCTTGGCAGAAGGACCACCTCTTAATGTGAGACAGGGGTGGAGGAGGAGACGGTGGGGGATGACATCTGGGTTATATAAGATGAGGAGGAGGGGGGGAGAAGAAGGAGCTCTCAGGGAATGGCTCCAATTCTTTTCAGGGAAATCTGAAGCAGGATTCTCGGCTAAGGGGGCGGGGGAGGGGGAGGGGAGGGTGTGCCCTGGGAGTTTTGAGAACGGATGAAAAATCGCTGTGGTGAGTGGGCTAGTGCGCTGATCAGGGAGGTGCAGTGGGTGGAAGGCTGTTTGCCTATCACCACCAACAGCTTGCGCAGAAGAATTGGATTATTTCTTCACCCAGAAAATCCGGGCCCGGAAAAAGAGGCTGCCTGGTCACGTGTTGAGAGAGGACTAGGGAGAAAAGACAGACTGTTGGAAGGCTGTGCTCGAGACCTTGGTTAAAGTGAAAGAATATCAGGCTCCTGCCCAGAGCCGAAGTGTGTGCCCGACAAGGGGCAACCGCCAGTCTGTCAGGGTTATTACAAAGTCGATTAAACTTGATGGAGGGAGGGAGGTCAACTGCAAAGAAAGGGCAGGAGTCGGAGCAGAGGGAGAGCGCTCCAGGCGCGGGAGACGGCCCAAGAGGCTGCCCTGAGCTGGAGCCGGCCATGGCGGCTCTGCTGGTCTCTACTGTTCACAGACCAGCCGGGAGGCTGGGGTCAGTGCCTCCCAGAACACGAGGTGGGGAGTGAGGTGCCAGTAGACTGGCGGGGCAAGGGTAGGAAGGGCTTTCAACGCCAAACAGCTTCCTGTTCCTGCTCCTGGAGGCCGTTGGGAGCCACTGGAGGTTATGGAGAAGGGGGATGCAGATAAGAAAGGTAGGAGGGTTCAAAGCATCAGAATGGTTCTGGGCACTGCTGCACTGGTGACGGGTGCCTGGGCTCACTGGGCACCCTGCCTCCCACATGCACCCAGATGCAGGCTGAACACACACACAGATGAACCCCACACAGACACACACTCAAAGACATAGACTCACAGACACACCCACACAGACACACGCCACAGACACAGACACCCTCACACACACTCAAGACACAGACACACACACAGACGAACCCACACAGACATAGACACACAGAGAGACACACCCACACAGACATCCTCCCACATAGACACAGATACACCCACACAGACACACACATACATATAACCATGTGCAGCTCCTCTCTGCCACATTTCTGTTACCACCACTCTTCCTCCTGGTGGGTGTTCCTCTCTAGTCATTCTCTCCTCCCTCACTCTGCTCCCTAACAACCACAGATTTAAAAATAGAACAGCAAAACAAAGTCACTCCATACTGGGGGCCTCTAAGTGATGCCATGGAAAGAACGCCTGGAAGCCTCAGACACCAGCTGTGTGATCCTGGACAAGTCATTTCACCTCAGTTGACCTCAGTTTCTTTGTCTGTAAAATGGGGGTAATAATAGCACCTACCTTCCATGGTTGCTGTGAGGATCAAATAAGACAAAACTTGTAAAGTGCCTCGAACAGTGCCTGGCACATGGTTGGGTGTCGTCCTTCATGCTCAAAGAGGACCACAATGACATCACTATGTTGGGGTCAAGCTACAGTGTGTCTGACTGTGGCTGAGCAGACCAGTATGAGCTCAGATGCTCCACCACACATCAGGTACAAATGGTCCACGTGCACATTTGGGAAGGATTCTCTAAATCTGTGCATCTCGTGTTTCCTTTGAGCTGTTTCAATTCTGCTTTGCTCACAGAGCACAACTGGTTCTCTGCTGAGGGTATGCCATGCAGGGTGGTCTGTGCCAGTGTCTCCCATGTCACAGAATCAATTCCAAAGTTCTTTAGAGGGATCTTGAGAGTGTCCTTGGATCACTTCTGACCACCATGTGAGCACTTGCCCTGTGTGAGTTCTCCATCAAGTAGTCTTCTTGGTAAGCATAAGTTCTGCATTTGCACAATGTGCTCAGCCCGTTGGAGTTGTGCTCTCTGAAGCAGCATTTGAATGCTTGGCAGTTTAGTTCTAGAAAGGACCTCAGTGTCTGGTATCTTATCCTGCCAGGTCATCTTCAGAATCTTCCTAAGGACAATTCAAATGCCCTCTGGCATGGCACTGGTGTGCTCTTCAGGTTTCCCAGGCATATGTCCATGAGGTCAGCACAACGGCTCTGTAGACCTTCAGTTTGGAAGTCAGTCTAATACCTCTTCTCTTCCCCACTTTCTTTTGGTGCCTCCCAAACACTAAGCTAGCTCTGGCAATGTGTGCATCAACCTCATTATCAGTGTGTACATCCCTGGAAAGTAGGCTACCAAGGTAAGTGAACTTATCCCCAGCATTCAAAACTTCTCCATTTGCTGTGACCGATGGCTCCACGTATGGATGGTGTGGCAATGGCTGATGGAGCACCTGTGTTTTCTTGGTGTTGATTGTGAGGCCAGAATTAGCACAAGCAGCAGAGAACCGATCCATACTTTGTTGCATCTCAGCTTCAGTGCTTGGCATATAGTAGGTGCTATATAAATGCTAGCTGTTATAATTACTAATCACAACAAAAAATGGGATAAGAAAAAAATTAAATGTTGAATGGACACAAGCCTTCACAGTTAGCATTCTTTGCAAGATCCCAGAGAACTAAGCATCAGTCTCCCCTATGGAACCTGGGCCCCTTGAAAGCCCTCCATCCATCCTTGACTCACTGTTCCCTGGCTTGGACAGTTTGCTTGAACCTGCCCGTTTGCCCTCCTCCTCCATGCCTCCTCCTGGGCAGGACATGACCTTCATCTCTCAAGGCAATGTTAGTGGAACACAAGCTTGGGCAGGCCCTGCCAAGCTAGAAAAGCCTGTGGACTGACTGTGTGCCTGTCCTCTGAGAGCCAAGCCCAGCAGAGTTAGAGAGGCTCATTACTGGGCTGCCCGTAGAGCGATGAGGTTTTGGCCACAGCAACTTCTAAAAACCATCTCCTCCATGAGAAAGGGGTTGTGATCTGTGCTAGCAGAGGTCAGGTACACACTGATGTAGTAATGACAGAATCAAGTGAGTTGGGGTGCAGCAGAGCACCTTGCACAGGCAGTCTTGGATCCACTCCTCCTGTCAGAGGAGTCTCCCTGGCAGAGAGGCCCCTCTGATATGTACAGCAGCATCATCCAGTTATAGACATGAGGAAACATGACTTCAAGAGGGAAAGCTACTCACCAGTGTCAGAGACGGAATTTGAACTCAGGTCCCTTCTGACTCCAACTCTAACACACTATCTTATCTCTCATGAGGGAATATTAATGAACAATTTTCTCCACTGAGGGCCATATACTGGCATGCGGCCAGATAGCCCCATCACCCTAACGCTAGAGCCAATGACCATTGTGGACTCTCCCTGGCCCAACTCTGTCCCCTTTCTGCTGTCCCACGCTGGCCATTGGTGGCTGATTCTTTCGAATCCACATTTGTACGCAGTAAAGTAGCAGATTGCCAGAAGGGTAGGACCATGGCCACATTCTCAGTTACTACTTAGTGCCTAGGGGAGTCACACATATTTTGCACCATTGGGGTGGGAGGTTGGAAAGTTCATTGTGTTTCTGATTAAGGAAATGTGCACAACTGAAAAGCTTCTGGAGCCAGCCCTTGAAATGGCAGAGCATAAATGATGCTACTTCAACTAGATCCTATCATTTTTTTTCTAGTCTGTTTCAAGTTCACGTGGAGACACAGATGGACTGGACGATTGTTCTCCAGGGGCTCCTGGCTGCAGTTGTTTCATCAGAAGATAAACAAAGAGTCTAATCAGCAGGTGACATGACTAGCATGCATTCTCAAGAGGTGGGTCCCATTCATCCATCAAATGAAAATTGTCTATCTGAGAATAAGAGCGCATGTCTGTCCATCGAACCGTTCTCACCTTCATTCCGCAGGAGATTCCCCGCCCTTAAAAAAACCCCAACAACCCTAAAGAAGGGGCTGCAATCAGACCTAACAGTGTTTACGTTTATATTGTCAGCTTTGTTCAGGTGGTTTGAATTTATCTGCCAAGTTGTTACCATGATTTATTAGTGCTGACTCAAATTTGACCATTTAATATATCTCTTTGGCTCTCCCTTTCTCTGTCTTCCTTTTTCCTTCCTTCCCTCCTCTCTTCTTCCCTCTCTTTCTCCTTCCCTCTCTCTTCCTTCTTCCCTCCCTCCCCTTCCCCCTCTCTGTCTCTGTCTTTCTCTCCTTCCCTCTCTTCTTTCTCTGCTTCCTTCATCCCCCCCACACACAGCTGAACCACATTTTTTATTCTTATTCTCACTAGAAAGATTAGTCACTCAAAGAGAAAGGAAACAATGATGTCCTCCTGGTTAAATTTGGTATAATACATGATTTACTGGGAAATGTGATGTAATTTCTCCAATAACGTTTTGCCCAGCCAGAACAGAAGAGGACACAAGAAGACAAATTCCTTTCTGGTGATGGAGACTGGTACTCTTAAGTCGTCTCTGAGGTACTCACAAGGTTTCCCAAATGGCAGAGAGCCAGCTGAGCAAGGGTGAGAGCCCAAAGCAAAGGCCCAGCCTGGCCCAGACCAGCCCCATTCTGCCCACAAAGATCCACTCCCTCATGGGCTTGTTTTATGAATGGCCCCAGAGGTGATCTGCTCTGCTGAACTGCTCCTCTGGTTCACTGCATTGCCCCTAACATTTGGCTTGAGTGCATGAAGCAAACTGGCTGTGGACATCTCTTGGCTTGATGACATCCAGAGCAGCTACTCCTTGGAGACCAGACCCAGAAAGAAGTCGATGGTGAAACCCCCATCCTCAAGTGTCCAGAGTTCAGACAACCAACAAGAGATTCCAAGATGAATATGACCTTGGGTTCACTGTAGCTTAAGTGAAAACACTGTAAAGACAAAGACCTTGGAAGAATTCTGTGAAAATTCTGATCAGTGCAGTGACAGAGCCTCTGGGCTTCCACATGACGAAGAATCCGACGATGAAGGATGCAGCATTGGACACGGAGAGCATTGGAATACATTTGGCTTGATTGTGTACATTCGTTACAGGGCTCTTGTTTTCAGTTTTTCTTTTCAGTTGAGGGTGGGAGGGAAAGAAAATAGATGCTTATTAATGGAAAAGCACTTGGCACAGTGCTTGGTATGTCGTTGTAATTATTGTTCAGTCATTCCAGTCACGTTCTACTCTTTGTAACCCAATTTGGGGTTTTCTTGGCAGAGGTATTGGAGGGGTTTGCCATTTCCTTCTCCAGCTCATTTTACAGATGAAGAAACTGAGGCAAACAGGGTGAAGTGACTCGCCCAGGGTCATGCAGCTAGTAAGTGTCTGAGGCTAGATTTAAACTCAGGAAGATGAGTCCTCCTGACTCTAGGTCTAGCACTCTATCCACTGTGCCACCTAGCTGCCCACCTGGCATGTAGTATATGCTTAATAAATACTTATTGACTGTTGATTGATTGAAAAATTAAATGAAATTTTTAAAAAATATATTCACATGAGGAAATCTAGGAACAAATGGTAGAGAGAATTGTGAAGAGCATTTGTGTTAAGATCAATACAGGAGAAACCAAAGTGATTTTTTTTATCGATGGAGTATTGACATAATAATCCATTTGATTTATTTCTTCAAACTCAAATAGAAACAGATCCCTGTGGGCCAAATACTGACTTAGAAAACCACACATTAATAATACCCACATTATATAGTATTGTATTTTTGTTTATTTTGTTAAACATTTCCCAATTCTGTTTTAATCTGGTTCTACCACAGTGATACCTCTGCAATAGACCACCTAGACAGGCAGAAGAAATAGATGATGAGCTCAAGAAGGAGATTACAAGTCTAGCACAGAACTGTGACATTAGTAGTGGAGGACCTGTCCACTTCTCTCTGTGTCTATCTCTCTCTGTCTCTGTCTCTCCCTCCCCTTCCTTTGTTTGTGTCTCTCTGTGTCTCCTACCCCTCTTTCCCTATCTTTCTTCTTCTTCCTCCTCCTTTTCCTCCTCCTCCCTATCTCTTCTCTCCCTCTCCCTCCTCAAAAACAGAGCAGCTAATAACTTCTTGACTTGCCTTAATGGTTATTTAATTTTTCTAAAGGTGAAGGAAACCTCAAATGGGAAATTCTGTTCTGAATCAGAATCTTGTTTCTGGGGTAGAAATGATGAGCACTCTGGGTGGAAATGACCATTCCTTCTCAGAGTTTGTCACAGAGGAGAAGAGGAAGGCTGAGTAGTCTGCTATGAACTCTAGATTTGGGGAAGCAGATCCAAAGGGTTCAGAGAAAAGAAAAGTGGGATGCCATGGCCTTGGAACTTGGATGAGAAGTACCTTCCTATCTGTCTATCTATCTATCTATCTATCTATCTATCTATCTATCTATCTATCTATCTATCTGTCTGTCTGTCTGTCTGTCTGTCTGTCTGTCTATCTGTCTGTCTATCCATCTATCTGTCTGTGTATCTATCTGGGTCATATGTATATATGTATATACACATACATATGTATGTATAGGTATCAACATAATTGGTTTCCTTTGTAATCCAATGTATTTTATGTGTTTAGAAGCACAATTTTCCAAAGCAGTTCATTGGCTCCAGCTGACAGCCATAGGAGTCCATGCCACAAAAATGGCTCAGCATTCCACTGTGGCTGAAATCAGCTCGGCAGCAATGGAAAATTCACAAGAATGGCATTCTGGAGACAGAAAGGGAAGCACTCCTCATGAAGAGGAGCAATGATCTCATTACTTACGGAAACCACTAACCAAGAGTTTGAAAAGACAGGAGCAAGGGGAGGCAACAGGCCGGAGACTAAGGCAGTGATGTCATAGTCCACTCCCACAGTGAAAACGTCAGGAGGGCTAAGGCTCCGAGTGCTCTGGGACTGGCCAGGAAAGCAAAGAACAACAAAAAAGAAGAGGGGAGTGGCTTTGGGTTCAGGATTTTGTGTATTTGTTTCTGTGTTTTGCAATCTTGAGGAAAGGAGGACAGCTGAAGAAGGGAGATGGCCACTGCTTGGCACAGATGAGAGAATGAAAATTGAGGCAGAGATGTTCAGTTCTGGGTCTGCTTTTTTTCCCCTCCTGCCAAAGGGAATAATGACCTTGGCACTAAAAATGACAAAGCAAAAAATAAAATGTTTAGCAAGAGCTGATGGTCAGGATGAATAAGACCACAATAGATGCCTGGCAGGTGCCTTCCCTCTCAATGAGCAATGACATCCTCAGGTCCTGAAAAGATGGCTCCATGTGACTGCTGAGCCACTGTCAGTGACCGCTGAGAGCCTCTGGCTAATGGGAGAGGCTCCACACAACTGGAAAAGTCCAATCCAGCACTAGGTTTCCAAAAGAAGGCATAGGCCAGGGAGGTAGACTTCAGTTGCTGGCAAAATTCTGCAAGGGATGATGAGCAAGATGACCAGGGAAGGCCCACGTCGGAGATGGGGAAGGTAGAGTGGCCGAATGGCTTTGCCAATGTGCTCCTGCAGACCCACCTTCTTTTCTTTGCAGATCAGAGAAATGCTGCAGATACAATTTGCATAGGCTTTAGTGAATATTAGATCAAATATCTCGTGCTGCCTGGTAGCAAAGACTGAGAGATGTGAGCTCAAAGATAACACAGTGAGATGCATTAAGAGCTTGTTGGATGAATGAGCTCAAAGAACAGTGGTTAAGCTTAGTCCTTTTAGAATGCCCCCAGGGAGCTGTACTGGTCCTGGGCTCGTGAACATTTTTTATCAGTGATTGAGACAAAGTCACATCAGACCCATTGCTTAGCCCGTGACCCCAAGCTGGGAGGGACCCTCAATGCACCAGATGACAATAAGGATTCAAAAAGACCTTTCAGGACTTCAACATTGGGTTGAAGCAAGTTAAAAATTTAATATGAATAAAATACAAAATTTTAAACTTCAGTTTAAGAAATCTACTTTTTTTTTTTAAAGAGAAGATTGTGGAGGATTAGCTAGATAGCAGTTATTCTGAAAACGATTCGGAAATGTCAGTGAGCTCCATTCAAGCTCAATGAGTCAGTGGTGTGAAGGGGTAGCTCCCCCCAAAGTACAAAGACACACTGTGATCTTGAGCTCACTTCCAGGCTTAGGGAGGGGAGGTGCTAGACATTTCAGTGTTCACTCTGTACTTGACTCCACACTCTGCTTCTCCCCTGGCCAGATCACATCTTGTATTCAGTGCTGGGTACCACATCTTAGGAAAGATTTTAATAAAGTGGCAGAGCATTAGAAAGAGATGAGCCACTTGGTGGCGAAAAGCCTTGAACTCAGAATCAGTCAACGCAACAGGGAATGTTAGAAGTCAGGGAGAGGGAGAATTGTTTGCAAGTGTTGAAAGAATTGTTGCTTAGAAGGTCAGGCTTGTTTTGTTTGACCCGATAGAACAGAAGCCCCAGAAAACATTTGGAGGTGACAAAGAGGCAAATGTAGGTTCCTTACCTACAATCAGTGCTGGCCCAAAGTGGAACAGGCTGCCTTTCGGAGGTAGTGAGATCCTGGATGACTACTGCTTGGATTGGGTGGAGTAGTTGGGGGACCTGATTAGGAGTAGATGGATTCTATGAACTTGTGAGATGACTCGGGATTGTGATCAGAAGCTACATTGCTGTGTTGCACAATTCAGCCAATTTCTGAAGATTGAATCTGTCCGTTTCAGGGACGTTGAACTATCCTAGCACATTAGTGACCGTATGAAATCACATGTATCACATCCTCCTCCTGAGGCTTGGTGGCCAGGTGTGTATGTGAGGAGGAGTCTGGGGTCCCACCAGGACCTAAGATCTGGATCCCTGGGCCAAGTTCTAGGCCTCAGGTTTCCCCCAACAAGTCTGACTTTTAGAAGGGAGTCTCAAAGAAGGGCCGTCCTATTTCTGAGGACTCGAAGGAGAGGTAGTACAGAATAGTATTTGAAAATGTCTTGTTTTCCATATCAAGAACAAACCCTAAGAACAGAGGTAAGAATGGGGTCCGTCAGTGGGAAGGGTTCAAAAACTTGCCGCACCCTGCGCGGTGCGGGATGCGGGATCCGGGTTGCGGGGTGAGGGATGTGGGATGCGAGGTGCGGTGCGGGATGCGAGGCAGGAGTCGCCTCCCTCCCTCCCCGTTTGTTCTCACTCTTCTCGCTTCGCTGAAAGCAGATCGTTGCGGCAAAGGAATGTTTACCAATTGTAAAAGGTCCTGGCCCATCATCGCGAGTATTAGGGTTGGAATAGCGCTTTTGTTGCCAAGGTTACAAACACTTATAAATATAACACATCTTCTAATATGCTTTTAACTCGGTATTTTTACGGCTTTTAAATCAGATACCATTAGCAAATATATTAGGTAATTTAGCTGAAAGACCATTTTCCCCTCTACTTTTTGTTACGTTCCCCAGGTATTTGAGTAAATGTCTGTTGTGACACTCTGCTCCTGCGAAGCTGCTCAGGTACGGCGATGCAGAAAGTATGTCGGGTGAAGATTAACATCTATTACCTCGCCTTCTTTGTAGCGATCCCTGAACAAGGCACCAAAAGGCGTTCGGGGTGCGGAAGCAGGAGTTGTTCCCGGTGTGGCTGGAGGCCACCCCCACTCTCTCTAGCTGGGGCCCGGAATCAGAACCCTCGGAGGAGGCGGGGGCTCTAAGGACAGCAGGGTGCCTGTGTATGGCCAGCCCCTAAACCTTCCCATTTCAATGTTTTGTCGTTGTTACCCCAGGGGAGGCGATTAGCGAAGGATTACAACCCAGCTTTGGCAGCCCTAAAATCAGCCCGGCTGCAGTCCTATTGTTTCTCACAATAACCCAGCAGCCTTGGCAGGCAAGGGAAGGCCTCTGGCCTTGTGGCGCCTTTTGGTAGAAGTAGTGGGTACATTTATCCATACAAAGAGAAAGTCGGCTCCAACTGGTATTTCCCTAGTCTCAGATTCATATGGTTTAGTCTCTTGCCTTGCGTCCCTCTATTAAATACGTGCCTTCCTTCTCCAGAAGTGAGCACCTTATTTCTACAAACTAATTTGCAGCAAAAAAAAAAAAGCTACAGGGGCTTCCGAGGTCTGCTTGTTACTTGATCTGTGCCTCAGTTTCTCCAGCTGCAAGTGTCTGTTG